CCTCGGTCTTCATTATTATTTGATTATCATTATTTTGGATAAAACTTTATTATTTTATTATCATTATTGAATGTACTGAATGGAAACGGGAGGGCGACCTGGTCTGGTTCGGGTCCGGGTCCCGAAAAAAGAATTAGATGAAATTCTTATAAAAGGGATAATTGAATAAACATAACAATGGAAAGCTATAAGCATAACCGAAGTTTAACCCAGCATTTAGCAAATTACAAGTGTTTTAAATCCAAAATAATATATGTAAATAATCATAAATTATAAGTACATAATTTAAATAAAATTAGCGAGTTACAGTAATCAAAACTACAATTTAAAATATGAATATCTAAAGAACAAAACTATAAATAACAAAGTAAGAGACAGATATACATATACACACACACTTAGTTGTATATTTGCCAGACAAGTAACTACCACAGGGAGAGGTAACTGAGGTGCATTTAATTCAACTGGTTAAGGAAGTTGAATCAATTTATTATAGGATTTTGAGTTTGAGTTTTAAAATATACAATCACATCAAATAAATCTATCAAAGTTATTCCTAAAATGCTTGTGAGGCCACCATTAGTAATAATACTCACATAGTGAGAGTTCATATTGGTTTGACTAGGGGTGATGATAACCAGTGCTTTCCAAGACCACATGATGTATAATAAAAAAAATATGGTAGATGTGCATTTTTATTCTTGGAATATTTTCTGAAAAGCACCCAATACTCTAAGATTTTTGTCATAGCCATTTTGCCCTTAGATAAATAAAAACGTAGCAAATCAGACCCTACTATTAGTTATAAAAAACGTCCATTAGTTATGGTCAAAGTAGGGCACAATTTGTGTTTTCATGCCTGTTTCCATGCCACATTTCTTCCCTTCAACTCTCAATAAACAAAACACCATCATCATCATCATCATCATCATCTTCCAAAGAACCATATTCCTCTCTCCCTCCTCCTCTCTATCTCTCTCCCTCTCTTTCTCTCTCTTCAACAATGAATGACACAATGGGCTGGAGCATTAAAGTGACCTACTTGAACATTGAATAACTTGAAGTTACTATACGTTGAATCCATGAGCACTACCTTTGCGTATGCCTTTTATGGTCGCCCTAGGCATGTTGACACTTCTCCACCAAGTTAGAGAGGTAGAGTGAATTGATGGGAAAGTGGCAGCTCCAAAACACCATAACATTAGGGCTATTGACCACATTGTAGCCAATATTAGAGACGACGTTAATTGCACTTGAGATGATGCAGTCACGATAGAATTTCGCGATGAGACTGCATGTAGAGGGAGTCTTAGTATCCATTTAGATGGCAATTATAAAAGATGACTATATGCATGGCCATGAAGACAGGAACATTCGCATGCAAATTTATAATGTCTTGTGATAGGATAATTGTGAAAATAAAGATTGAAGTCTCTCTTTGTTTAACTTTGTTTTATGAGACATAAAAAAGAGGGACATTATGTTGATAATGGAGAGGAAGAACTTCAAGGTTGATGATGATAAAGAGAGAGGGAGATGAAGATGCCAAGCTTTAAGGTTGATGGCAATACTGAACATGATAGATAGGTGAGCTTTTAGGTAGACGATGATAGCGGAGGCTACTAAGCTTTGAGCTTCACTGGAAATGGGAAAGCGACAATGGGGAGAAGAGAAAAGTGGGTGCTTTTAGTGCTGTCTCTATAACATCCTAGAAATGTAAGCCTAATTAAGTAAGTTTAATGAGGGTAATTAAGTGAATTAATATGGTATGTGACCAGAGAGGTCTAATTTATATAATTGATTATGATTTCAACCCTAAATATGGGTTCAAAGTGAAGTCGAGCCACCTAGGAATCAAAAGTGGAGAAAAAAGTAAAGAAGAATTTTCCGTGCCACATGCCACAGTGTGAGGAACATCCATCGCGGCTCATAGAGGCAACCAACATGAGCTGAGCTTCTCTATGCCATGAGCCAAGGCGGGAGGCTGCGTGCATAACAGCACATGGCCAAATTTCTATATAACTGGTTTCATGTTTGTGCGAAAAATTAAAGGAGAGGAAAAGGAGAAAATGAAAGGCACGAGATTACTCTATTAGAGCACGTACTTGGAGACTATTGGAGATATTCTATTGGAGATAGCTTCCCAACACATAAGTTAAGTACGTTAATGTCTTCCTTTACCCTTTCCTTCTATTTTTATGAGAAGTTAGGATTTGAGTTGAGAGAGTAATTTTCGATCCCTATGAGCTATAGGTCTGAACCCATTACCTAAAATAAATATAATGAGAATTGTTTAGAGTATTTAAATTCTACATTAATGATTTTGAGAGTTGATGGTTGTTGAGAGCCATTAATATCTAAAAATAACAATAATTATGGTTGTTGGGATTGTGTTGAAGCCATTAATAGTGGTTTATTGACTCACTTATGTCAATATGGGTCATTGAAACTTAGAAAACCTAATAGGTATGAATGAGAGTAAGTTTATGGCTTTGATAAAAAGGAGTATGTGAAGTTATGATGACTGAGAATTGCCTAAAAATGGGGTAATAATGTTATCCTTGTAATATGATTGTAGATTAACCCAATTGACACCATTCAAGCTTGAGAAAAAGCTTTAAAAGTAGTTTTTTAGGGATAAACTGTTAATCTCTCAAATGTTTGAAATAATCAGAAAAAATCTAGTTTGTATAGTTTCATATTAATTAATTAATTATTGAATGAAATTATATAGAACTTGCTGAATGTTTTGAAAACTCTTTGATGCAAACTTTGACAATGTAATGATTGTGTGTGCGATAATGTGTTGAATTATCTTGACTATTAATGCATATTTATTATGACTCATATTTATTATGTGTTGTATGCCCGATCACATAGTTGTTATTATTGTGGCTGAAGCTATATTTGTCATATGTGCGTGATATATGGGTTTATTACCATTTGCATCCATTTTTAGTTGACACACATATGTATAGACTAGGTTGACCTTGGTTATTGAGTGGTTGTACTTAACCCTCATTCTTCAATATTTTTAGGACCTAATTTATCAAATCAGGAACAAGAAAAATGACCAAAGGCATAAGATTTTGAGTAAGTCCTATTTGTAGGCCTCTTAGTTTTATCTATGTGTATTTTGATGGTTAATTTGCCTAGGACTCATATCATTGTTTTAATCTACTTGCATTATCATTGTGAAAATTATGTGTATTTCGTGCCCTAAGTTAGTGAATTGTAGTTATAAAACTTGTTTAAAACCGAAATACTAATGCAAGTAAAGCAAAGTATATTTTGATTGTTTTGGGATGATTATTAATGGTTTATGCAAAAATTTCTCCCCTTTTATGTTTTTTGTGAATTGAGGGGTTGAGAGTTGGATTTATGATATATGAGAATTTGAATGGATGTGGTGTATTGCACAAGTCCAAAATGGTTCATTGAGTGTGGTCTAAAGGTTGGTGTAGGTTTTTGACATATGTGTGTAAGTTTGGACACCCTAATTGTGCATATTTGTGAAAAAGGAGTGGAATTAGTATTGGGTGTCCAACTTTTGATGGACAATAAATTTGGTTGTGAAATTTGTGCTGTCAAAATCATGCCATGCGCCAGCAACACGCTGCAGCGTAGATGTAATTAGCCACAGTGCATGTGCTGTTTTCTGCACAGTTCATTGTTTTGAGTTTTTAGCAAATGTTTTGATTCTTTCTTGATTCTCATGCTTTCGCAAATACTTTAAACTCTGATTTGAATATTGAAAGTGTATGGTATCATTTTACATTATAAAAATTTGGTAATCCTTTTCGGGTTAAACCTTTAATTATCTTGGAGTTGATAATTGATGGTGTTTAAGTAAGTAGATCTTACAGTCTCAATGCTTCTACTAGAAGGAGGTGATAACACTGAAGATTGAGATAGCAATGAAAGAATCATCATTGTGGCTCTTCCTCCTAATGAATTCATTGCCACCTATCATAAAAAAAATGGGGCCTACTTGAATTTTGTAATAGAGTTAGTGTGGATTTAACTTCAGGGTAACGGGTGTAGTGAATTAATTATATCAAGGGTGAAGATGCTATACGAAATACTTTAAAGTGTTGGGTATTTCTTGGAGAAAATATTAATACAAAAAATATACCTTTACCCTAAAAATATATGACATGTAAATAGACAAGCACAAGCTTGTAAGAATTAAGCGCCTATTTGGATTTTTGATAGAAAAAGTAATCAATATGATTGATTTTGAATATAATTAATTATATTATATAGTATATAATTGATTTATGAATTGATTAATAAGATATATTTTAATCAAAATTTAAAAGTAGAATGAAAAAGTAAAATTGAAAAACAGAATTGAAAATCATGTGAAACCATGGTTTATATCCAAACATTTATGCTACATGTTAAAATTGATTATGAATTTAAAATTATGTTTTTATTAAAATATTCAAATGGTCATTATACATACCAAAATCAATTATCAATCCAAAATCATGAGTTTCTTAAAATTAACCAAACACCTCTCTACATGTCAATATCAATTATAAATTCAAAACTACATTTATCCCATAAGTTAATATTACCTTATTTTCAATTCAACTTTTAAATTATACATTTATAAAAATTTATCTAAAAATCATATAAACTATTTTACAGATAATACTTTTGAGTTTTATAATTAACGTTGGTATGTATATAGGTGTCTAGATATTTTTTAAAAAAACTATGATTTTAAATTTTTAATTAATTTTGTCTTATATAATAAGTGTTTGAATATTTTTTTAAAAAATTATATTTTTAAGTTCATAATTAATTTTTATATGTTAGAGAAATATTTAGGTATAATTTCACAAAAACATAGAGCTTTTAAAATTAATTAATTTAATCATCCAAACATGGACTAAGTCTGATTATTCGACCTCTGTCATTTTTATCTTTTAAGATTTATTCTTATCATGATAGGATTTTTATTCTGTGATTAGAAATATTACCTCATTCATCTACAACGTCATCACCACTTCCTCTCTCCCCACTCTTGATCTTTTATAATTTGTATCCCGCCAGCGACCTCCTGTGCAGTCGGAGCACAAGTCCTTTTTCGTCTTCATCATCGACATGGAATATCTCAAGCCAAGCACTGCTAACTCTTCTCCTCTCACTCCTTTAGGTTTTCTCGATCGAGCTGCCACTGTCTACGGTGACTGCACTTCTATCATCTATAATGACATCACTTTCACTTGGTCCCAAACCCACCGTCGCTGCCTCCAGCTAGCTTCCTCTCTCTCTTCCATCGGAATCCGTCGCGGCCATGTCGTCTCCGTCTTCGCCCCCAACATCCCCGCCATGTACGAGCTCCACTTCGCAGTTCCCTTCACCGGCGCCGTCCTCAACAACATCAACATCCGCCTGGACGCTCGCACCATCTCCGTCATCCTCCGCCATGGTGAATCCAAGCTCGTGTTCGTCGATTGTGTCTCACGCGCTCTGGTCCTTGAGGCTATCTCCTTGCTACCTCCGGGAACTCAACGGCCTGCCCTTATCCTCATCGCTGACGGTTCAGTGGAACCCACATCGTTAGAGGGATTCTTCGATACGTATGAGGGGTTGGTTGCGAAGGGTGATCCGAATTTCCGGTGGATCCGACCCAAAAGCGAGTGGGATCCGATGATCTTGAATTACACGTCCGGTACAACGTCGGCTCCCAAAGGGGTGGTTCATTGCCACCGAGGGACGTTCGTCATCACTGTCGATACTCTGATTGACTGGGCTATTCCCAAACAACCAGTCTACCTGTGGACGCTAAACATGTTCCACGCTAGCGGGTGGAGCTTCCCGTGGGGTATGGCGGCTGTCGGAGGAACCAATATCTGCCTTCGTAAATTCGATGCCACCACCGTGTTTGCTCTGATCGAACGCCACGGTGTCACACACATGTGCGGAGCACCGGTGGTGCTCAACATGCTAACGAACTCCCCAACAAACAAACCTCTGAGAAGGCCCGTTCAAGTCCTCACAGCGGGAGCGCCGCCGCCTGCCGCAGTGCTTCTCCGAACGGAAGCGTTAGGATTTGTGGTGAGCCACGGGTACGGGTTGACAGAAACGGGTGGGTTGATGGTTTCGTGTGCGTGGAAGCCTGGGTGGAACTTGCTGCCGGCGACGGAGAGGGCACGGCTGAAGGCGAGGCAAGGGGTGAGAACAATCGGCCTGGAGGAGATGGACGTGGTGGACTCAGATTCGGGTAAAAGCGTGAAACGTGACGGGTCAACCCTCGGGGAAGTGGTAATTCGGGGAGGATGCGTCATGTTGGGCTACTTGAAAGACCCAGATGCGAATTCCAAGTGCTTCAAGAATGGGTGGTTCTATACAGGGGACGTTGGGGTGATGCATCCAGATGGGTACTTAGAGATTAAAGATCGATCCAAGGACGTGATTATCAGTGGGGGTGAGAATCTGAGCAGCGTGGAGGTTGAATCGGTGCTATACAGCAACCCGGCGGTGAACGAGGCAGCGGTTGTGGCGAGGCCGGACGAGTTCTGGGGAGAGACGCCGTGCGCGTTCGTGAGCTTGAGAGAGGGATTGGAGAAGAAGCCGACGGAGAAGGAGGTAATGGAGTATTGCAGAGAGAGGATGCCGCACTTTATGGCGCCGAAGACGGTAGTGTTCAAGGCCGATCTTCCCAAGACTTCGACCGGTAAAATTCAGAAGTACGTTCTCAGAAAGGAAGCTAAAGATATGGGGTCCTTGAAACGCAGCAGATTGTGACGAAGAAGACATATGAGATTGGGTCGCCTTGATGAATAAAGATAAGGTTCATTGATGTGGTGAAAAATTCCTTCTCTCACTAATTTACTTTGCTCGTATCTGAATTTCTGAGAAGGAATAGTGTTTGAGTTTTTCTTTTCTTTTCTTTTTTTAATTCAAGCTAAAAAAAAAAACTAAGTTCAACAACTATTTGATAATTGGGACCTCTTAATTTTATTTACTAAATTTGTGTTTAAGGATATCCAGAATGAGAGTTCTGTCATTTGAGATGCACGAAACATATGAGATGTTGACGCATACGGATCATGAAAAAAAAGTAGTTTAGGATTGTACTCAAAGTCTGAAACTCAGAAAACATGAATTTGTACATATACATATAAGGCAGCAGTAACCGTAAGAGTTAGGTATAGCAAAAATGAATAGTCTTTCAAATAATAATTTAAGGTTCGAAATTTAGGTATTAGCATTTAATAATAATGTCATTAAGAGAATTGACTCTCTAACAATAAGTACTAAAAAACAATATAAGTTCATAATATATTTATTATTTTTTTACCAACATATTGGAGTATATACTATAATTTTTTGACCTGGTTGTAATATCTACATTAAGTATTAAAATCTTGGAGATACATTGCATTTTATAATTCTATATCGTCCCAATAAGATTTAATTTGCATCAAATCTTAGATGATTGAGATTAAAATTGTAAACTCCAACTTTAATGGAGTTAAAGGTATTTTTACCTTTCAATTATTTATTCAAAAATACTTGGTATTCTAAACTTTTATATAGTGTAATTTTTTTCAACTTTTAAAAATAATACATTGAGTACTCTACAATTAAAAAAAAAAAAGTTACCTTTGATGGTTATTTGACCAATAAAATCTTAAAAAATTACCTTAAAAATTATCAAAAATAACTCATAAAAATAAAAATAGGTACCTCATAAAAAAATTAATATCAATTAAGTCTCTAAAATAATAGTTGGTTAAAATTATATTTTTGTCTTTTACATGAGTAAGAAATAACAATTATATCTTGTTATTTATATGTAATTTAGAAAACTTAATTGATACTAATTTTTTTAGGGTGCTTATATGTAATTTTATGAATATTTTTATATATTTTTTTAAGATATTTTTTATTATTTTAAAGTCAACTTTTAACTTCAAAGTACTCAATCCATTATTTTTAAAAGTTGAAAAAAATTATATTACATGAAAGTTTATAATATCATGTGTTTATGAGCAAATACTTGAGGGATTAAAAATGTCCTTTAATTTACTTTAATATATTTTTATATTTTTTATAATTCATTATTTTAATGGATATAAAATTTAAAAAAATAATTTTTTAAGTGGAAAAATAATATATCATTTAAAAATTATAAATTAATTTTTTACAACTAAAGTGTCAAGATTAGATTCGGATGATTTAAATCTTGCTATGATGCTTGTCAATTGACCAGCGCCCTTTCCTGGGAATATAATAGAAATGTATTAAATTTCCAACATTATTTATGGTCATCGCCGGAAAATGATCCTCACTGACCTTTTAAAACAGTACAAAAGCGGGTACGTGGGCGCGTTTTTCTATAAGTAGGGCCTACCATAACTGGACACTAAACAGCCTGAATTCAGAGGAATTGGAATGGGAACAGGCGTGGGGTCGGTATTGAAAATAAAGCTTTAAAATTATATTTAAAATAGGGTAATAGTTGTAAAAAATATTTATTTTTATTTTATTTTATAATCAAATATAAATTATGAAAAAATTATAATGTCCCTTATAATTAATAAAAAAATTATAACCTCAGAACCATCTTCTCTAATACAATAGAACTCTGACCCTCCCTTCCCTTTGTCGGCTATTGCAATCATATTCTCATTTAACATCTTGCTGGCATTAATCTCATCTAAATTTTCTCATGGCGCCAATCTCATCGACGATCACCTTGTTCCTCCACCCCTCTCACTACAGGACCCAATTCTACACTAGTGCTTGTTGGAGAATGTTGGCTTTGAGTCATGGCATCAATCTTGTCCAAGAATGTTGGCCTTTCATTTTGAGTTCTCATTTGCATCAATTCTCCACAAGATTTCAATATGCACAACCAACACAGGGAAAAAGGTGAACTGTGTAAGAAGAAGAATGAAGCTGCAAAAACTCACAATCTTAGCATTAGTTGTTTGTTGCTTGTTCATCGATAAGGGAGGAAGTCGTTGATGCGTGGCCAAGCAAATGAGGTAAGGGAGAAGAGGACAAGCCTAGGCATTCTTTAAGGGGGTATTTTGGTCATGAAAGTTTCAATCTCAAGATTAATTTTGCAATACTAAAAGGGTGGATTTGAGTATTTTCACCTGAGTGGGACTGAGCAATCTCAGACATTGATGAATGACTCATACCAAACATAGCAAAGGTTGTATTACTCTAGCTCATTCTAATCCCTACCTTCCAATACTGCATATCAAACAAGGTTTATGGGTTGGCTTGTGAGCATGGTGAAGCAAGCAAGAATTTTAGTGTGAAAGCGAGCACATGATAATATATATATATATATATATATATAAGTTTAATATAAACATTTCAACATATTTATATTCAATTCTAAAAATGTATAACAAAAAAATGTATAGTACATAGCTCAACTAATAAGGAATTGTATTAGTTTAATTGATGGTCTTGAGTTTGAATTCTGGGCATGTAGTTGTGTTAATATTTGTTGGGAAAAGCCTTGCTGCCAATATAATTCTACCTAACTCGACTCATGAATAATAGTTAATATGTAATTGTATCAAAAACAACATGCACATTTGTTTTCAATGTTTTGCTCATTTATTCTACATACCATAAAAATAATTGAAAAATAAGAATTAGATTTTCCAACATCATCTACAAAATTTTGACATAATTCATTTATAGTAATCAAGTTTTGAAAATTATGATCTTTGGCTACATCAAGTTCATAATATTGTAATTCACATTTCAATTAATTTTTTTCTTGGTCAAAAATTTTTGAAAAGTAAAATTTCTCAATAAAATTGTGTATGTTTTAAATATTAAATAATTTAAATATATTTTTAAAATTTAAAATTATGTTTTTTTTTTAAATATTGAACCTCTATCCTTTCATTTACGATTGAACTTATTAGTGCCTACCAGAAAAGTTAGAAAGTGATGGTATTGCGGCTCCGTGTCCCTTGCCCCCCATGCCTCCGATGCTAATTGTGTAACAACAACGAGTGAGATCGTTGGATGACCTCTGCCCATGCTCCTCCTCCATGCGTACCATATGAGCTAGCTTTAAATAACTTCACGAGATTCATTAAAAAACACAAAAAAAAAACATAACAAAAATAATTCACGTGGGGCTATGTTGCATCGTTGCGCGAAAAGTCCCTCACGGCCCCACTGATGTTTCCTTTATTTTTTAATTGTCAGAAAAATTATTATTTTTTATTTATATTTTTATAAGTAAAATTATTCATTTCAACAAGTATTTATTATATATTTTTTAAATTACTCCTCATAATTTACATTAATAAAAAATAATTAATACATATTTATGTTGATTAATACATGGCATTTAGTCCACTTTTTTATTTTCAAACATAATTATTACAATTAATCAATTTTTTTAAATTATATATACATTTTATATATATAAAAACGGAGGGAGTATGATTTTATCGCGGTCATAAGTTACCATGTCAAGCATCTAAATTTAGTTCAAATGAGCAAAATCTAAAATTTTTATTTATAATTGAGCTATTTCTTTTTTATATTTAACATCTATTGCAATAAAAATTACTAAAAATAAAATAAAAATTAAATTAAATTTACATCTTCCAAGTTTAATTTTAATGGTTTAGATTTCTTAGTATTGCATTGAAATTTAATCCTTCAAGGTACCAAACAACTATTCCCTCCATCCCTATATATAAAAGGTTTTCTAAAACTTTTTTTGTCCTTAAATATAAGAGGTTGTTAGCATATTTTTAATAAATAGATCATTATGCCCTTATTAAATTGAAAAGAAAAAAAATAAGTACTCTCATTAATTTATTTTAAAAAAATAAATTCATTTTTTAATTTACAATAATGAGGGACAAAATTAGAATGTTAATATACTTTTAATTAGATAATCAATTTTTATTGATCCGCACAATTCAATTAAAATATTTTATATATAAAAGTGGAAGGAATATGTTTTATTAGATGGTACATAATGGTGGAAATAGGTAAGGCCAAGTCAAATAAGTCTAGCATATTTATATAAATAGGCCAACTTTAGGCTGAAGCATAAATTAATCAATATAACATAAAATAAAATTTTGGTTGATTGGTTAGTTTAATTTTCAATGTATAAAAATGACACTTTAAAATAAATTAACATAATTCAAATTAACTATATTTTTATATATCACAAGATATATATTTATATAAATGTGTATGTTTAGACACTACAAAAAAAAAAAAATTTCAGCGACAATTCTAAAAAGTCGTTGCTAAAAATGAACAATTTGTGGTGACAAAAAAATTCACCAATAAAAGTTTGACTTTCTACGACGACATTCAAAGTTGCCACTGATTGTTAGAATTTCAATGGTGACAAGTATATGTCACCATCAAAGGTCTAAATTTTAGTGGCGATATAAAAAGTTACCACTAAAAGTTGACAATCAGTGGCGACTTTGATTGTCAATATATTTTAAAATGTATTATAGTTTCTTAAAAACTAATGTTATAATAAATATGTTATAAGTTTTAGTGGCAATATATAAGTTGCCATTGAAAGTTGACAATCAGTAGCAAAAGTCGCCGCTGAAAGTCTCACTTTTAGTAGGGACATTCAAAGTCACTGTTGAAAGTTTGATTTTATATTTTTAACATTATTTTTAATTTTTTTAATCTAATATTTAACTTTCTAAAACATTAATTTTATTGTATTATTGTAATTTTATAATGAATATATAAAATAACATAATGAGTTTTCATTTAATATATTTTATGGTTAAATTATAACTTTAAGATAATGAAATTATTTTAAAGATAAGGTTAAGGTATTATTTAATACTAATGAGTCAGAGTAAAGAATTGAACCAAACTATATTATTTTATGTCAATTTTTGTTATCAGGTAATGTTTGGTTTGGTTCAATACAACTATTTAGGTTAGTTTAATTAATTGGTTTTGGTCAAATGAAATTAAATCTAACTGAATTGATTAATGCATGTCCCTATGT